TGATCTTCCAGACGCCTTTGGCCATTACAAGAACCTCGAAGTCTCTGCTCCAGCGGCGATAGTTGTGTTGGCCCTGGAGGACTTCTAGGTCTACAGTTGTTCCTTTGGAAGAGAACGGGTTGTCGGTCTCGGCAGATGTCTTGACGAGTGGTCCGAGTACTGCTTTCTGAGAGCGAGTCTGGATGGTGGGTAGCGGTGTTGCTCCTGGGTGATAGGTGGAGGTGGAAAATGCGTAGTAGAAGTCGCAAAAAGCCGGGCTCATGACCTAGAGCAAGAACCGGCATAAGGGCAGTTCAATCCGGGGAATATAGTCTCCCCCATATGGGCGTCTGCCACATTGACATGCGGTGTCTGTGGGCACACAGGCAGATGCCTGGAACCATAGTTGACTGCTTCTGCATCAGCGCAGGGAAACGTCACATACCGACGACACCTGTTGACTCCAGCCACGCCTCCAGCACACCGAAAACAAATGCCCAGATCACGACAGCATGTGGTTCCACACGTACAGCTCAAAACTGCTTCTATTCGCTACTAACAACACCTCTCTACCGCTCCCCGATGCGCCAGTGAATATCCGGATATCTATAACGGTGTATGTGTATGATCCATGCCGCTCCTATCTCGCTAAAAGAACACACACTCAGGCAAGGGCCTTGACCTCACCCTCCTTCACCTTGCCAGCCTCAACGAGACGCTTGACCTCACCAGTCCAGACGCCCTTGATCTCGTCAGCGACCTTGAGCCCGTTGAGCTTCGCAGCCAGAGCAGCAATCTCATCGGGGTCGATCTTGGCCACGATCAGGTCAACGTCGTTCAACACAGCGTCGATGGTCGCGGCCGAAGCATCGCCCGAGGCGAAGTAGTTGGCGTCCTTGACGGAGCCCTTGAGCACGCGCTTGTTCTTCTTGACGGCCGTCTTGGCCGCCTCCTTGGCCTTCTTGTTGGCCTCGCGGTCGACCTTGGCCTTCTCCTCGGCCTCCTTGGCCGCCTTCTCCTCGGCCTCCTTCTTGGCCTTGGCCTCCTCGGCCGCCTTCTTCTCGGCGGCCTCGCGGTCGAGCCTCTTCTTGTTCTTGGCGGCGTTGGCCTCCTGGCGGAACTTCTTGATGCGCTCGTCGCTGGCGGAGCAGTCGTCTAGGATCTTGCGCAGGCGGGCGTTGTCCTCCACCTTCCTCTTCTTACGGGCGTTGGCGTTCTTACGCTCCGTGTGGCGCTTCTGGTCGCGGTTCTCGTTGTCGTCGGGCACGTCCTCGTCGAGGTACTCGAAGGTGCGCCAGCTGTCGAAGGAGTACCAGAAGTTGTAAAAGTTCTCGACCTCCTCCTTGGTCGAGTTCTCGTCGCCGAACTGGGGCACGGGATGCACCTTGCTGAAGCGGGACTCGGCCTTGAAGACGTTGCTCCACAGCTTGTAGTAGTTCTTGCCGTTCTTGGCCTGGAGCTCCTTCTTGGTAGGAGGCTCGACATCGGCCTTCTCATCGACCGAGTCGAACTGGCAGCGCTTGACGGGGTCGAGCAGGACTTCGAAGGCCTTCTGGATGCACTTGAAGAAGTTGTCGTCTTCGGTGCGACCGGAAGCGGCCTTCTTGTCGGGGTGATGCTTGAGGACCTTCTTGCGGTGGGCCTTCTTGATCTGGTCCTCGGTCGCCTTGTAGCGATACTTGGAGAGACCTAGTACCTGGTAGTGGTCTTGGCTCTGTAACGGAACACGAGTTAGCACATGTGCCGTATGGCTGATGGGGAAGGTTGTGTCGGCTCACCTTCCAGTCCTTGGCCTCCCGCTGCAGCATCATGGGGTCCTCGGCCTCGCTGATCTCGCTGTCCTCGTCCTCCTCGACGTTCTTGGCCTTCTCCTGGGCCTGTATGCGGTCATCCTCCGAGAATGTGCGCTTGTGACGGGCCCGGCGGGCGTGGGCGAGGAAGTGAGGCCCAACAGGCTCGATAGTCCTCTGGGTGGCGGCACTGAGCTTGCCCACGGTCTTGAAGTCCTTCTCGGCGGCCCAGCCCTCGGGTAGCTTGGGCAGAGCACGGGGGATGACAATGGAAGTCGTCATGGCGTATGTATGTAGGTAGACCGCAATTATGGGATGAATGAGAGACAGGACGTTGTTGTTTGTACGACGGAAGAAGTCTGGAGAAGCAGAAAAGTCAGTGTTGAATTTTGGTGGGGTCACTTCTCGGCAGGAAGTTTTTAGTGCGAAATGTGGATCACCCTCCCATGCGCAATGACCAATCATAGCGGATCTCGAGCGGCCGTCACTGACGTCTCTGCCACAGTCCAAAGCTCGGCTGAAGTTTTGCGACAGTGAAGACACCACCGCCCCTTATCCCTCCCCGCATCCTCTACCATGGCGCTCGTAGCATACAGGAACCTCCTTCGGGCGGCAAAGATTGCATTTGAAGGTATGCGCCCCTCGAATGCCGGGCCTCTCCTGGGACCTTGAGCAGACCACTGGATGCTAACCGCCATGTTCCAGGCGACTCCCGCGTCCTTGCTGCAGCGACGGAAACGATACGCCAGAGCTTCCGAGACAAGCGGTCGCTATCCCCCTCAGATCCAGAAGTACAGGCAGGGGTACAGCATGCTCAAGAAGTCGCATCCTTCTTGAGGAGCAACGTCGTGCAGGGGAAGAAGGAGGGAGACGTCTACAGTTAGTGCTTGCTTCTCTGCCGGACACCATGCCCGACTGGCACGGATCACTGACGGTTGCTGCAGAGCTACGGATACACGACGACATAGAACGCGGCGACAATGACACGATAATGATGGGCGGGAAGGCAGTCCAGGTCGAGGGCGGGAAGTGCTGCAGTCAATAGAACGCGGACCGTCTCCGACCAACTCCAATGCTACGATGATGGAGGAGGACCTACGTCTAGCACCATCTGGCCACGGGACTGTGCAGAGACGGTGGGCCCAGCCTGACTTGCCTGGGCTATAGCAAATGTATAACACCTTGTATAAACACACACCTATGATACCCACGACTACGCAGCCCTCGATCCAATATCCGTTGCATATCTAGACACACACAGTTGGGAGAGGCAAGCACTTGTAAAGACGATGAGAGTGACTTGAATTGGCTCTATCAGGATGCCAGGAAGCGCCTTATGAGGATCGTGCTTTTCCTCTGAATCAATACCAAACATCCTCCATTGTGCAAGCCGAGCATACCATGCCAGCAAACTCCTGAAGTGACGAACCAGAGCGAACCAAATGCAGACCAATGCGATCATTCCCTCCAAACGCCTAACACCATTGCAATGCAGCCATGAATCTCCCCTGACCCTCATCAATTGCCAGCCAAACTCTCATACTGCACCTCATCCTGCCCCGGCGGCGGCGCAACAGCCAAACCAGCCAAATCATCCTTCTGCTGTGCCCGTCCCTGTCCCTGCGCACTACCACCACCCTCAATAGCCTTCTGCCCCCCAGGCGCACCCTTCGGCCTCGCAAAAGCAGACCGTCCATCGCGTATCATCTCGAGCCTCTCCTCCTTGTTCATCGTCCCGATCGCCTTGGGCTGTCCCCACCGTATCCGCAGAGGACAACCCGCAATGACGGCGCGGCCCTTGCACTCCTCCGCCGCCTTCTCGGCCGCCTCGCGCGTCTCGTAGTTGACGAAGGCGCAGTGCGACATGTGCGACACGACTAGCGACTTGATCTTGCCGAAGGGCTTGAAGAAGTCCCGGATCTTGAACTCGGGGAGGTCGTCCTCGATGCCCGTCACGAAGAGGGACATGATGTTCGGGTCCGAGGGCGGGAGCCAGTCTTTGGGCGTGGGCGGTTGGTTGATGGCGGCGAATGGTGCTTTGCGCGCCGGTCGTGCGCCGCTGCCTGGTCGAGAGTCGCGCGACCGAACCGGTCCCGGTCCGCTACCACTGCCGCCGCCGGGAGAGGCGGTGGACTCGTTACCCTCCTCGTCGACCGCCCTGCCTTTTCTGAAGTATGGTTTGCTCTGTGCCAACCGCCTTAGCAGCTCGCGCGCCTTGTCGTCGGCCTTGTCGTATTCCTCAATGCCGGCCCTTCCCTCCTCGATGGCGCGCTCGTTGTTCTGGGCAAAGTATTCGCGGTTGATGTCACTGCTGGGACCTGGGGCCACGAGCTCGAGGGCTTTGTCGCGGATGACGATGGGCAGGCCGAACTGCAGATCCATGATGCAGCACTGGCAGGCGTTCTTCAGGCGGGCGCAAGTGAGGCAGATGTTGGTTCGCTTCTTGCGGCCATGGGCACGGTCGGCAGCCCACTGGAAGACGGTGTAGGGGCGGGTGCAGAGCTTGCATTCGGCGCCGAAGTCCTCCTTCAGCATCTTGACGTAGGGATTCGCGGGGAGGCAGTTCTCGCACACGGACGGGAAGTCGGTGCTCTCCCAGCCCGAGCGGTTGAGATCTTGTTTGATCTGTGGAGGCATCTTTGCGGGAGACTGCGAGATGCCCGTTATGAGTTGTGTGGTGAAATGACGAGAGAGGACGAAGTATTCGTGACGTGTTGTTCGGGTTGATGCTTCGGGGCGACTGGGCAACTCTGACAATCGCAGGCGATAAATTCCCCAGGCGCACGGACCATTCTAGAAGCAGTAGACCACGCGCCGTGACTAAGCATCGAGTCTTATCCGTCTTATCAAATCCATCTGCGAGACAGAATCACGTGCAATCGACATGCATCGTTGTAGACCAGATGGAACTGCCAAACCTTCCTCAATGGGCTCCTAGGTGTCTCTTCCATCCGATTCTCACATGGGCATATAGCCCGTCACCATGTCCGGCATTGTCTTCATCATTCACGATCCGTTAGATCCTGGAGCCAGAGAGTACCCCTGCGCGCTAGCAGCAGTGTGAGCATATAGACAGTGCTAACGGGAGCCAGGATATGAGAACCATGACTCCCAAACAGTTCTACCAGAGTTGCATCCGAGTACTGTGGGAGGTCACCGGATTGAGGCGCAAAACGGGTGGAGACTTCCCCGGGATCCCATCCAAGTTTGAGAGTGCAAAAATAATAATGCCGCCCGAAGAGGGGCTCGAACCCTCGACATTGGGATGTCCGACGTGCTTTTTGCAAAGAGTCATAAAAGTCCCACGCTCTAACCAACTGAGCTACCCGGGCTGTCAGCGAAGAAAGAGCTCCGGTAATTGTGGCTACCTTTCGTCGGAGGTTCCGGTCGACACATCTCCCCTAAGAATTAGACTAAAGCCGCTGCAAAACTCTTGACACACCACTTGTTGAACTGAAAGGGTGACTAACGTCTTGATTTCCACTCCATTTCTTCCAGGTTTAAATCAACACCACAAGGAATTCAAGGCCGACATGGAGTGCTTCGCTTCTTCATCATGGATGACAGTCAGTTCTGCTGCCAAGGTTACAGGGCCTGCCATGGAACCTGGAACCTGGAAATTCTAGACCCACGCAGCTGCAGAAGTCGAAATGCGCGGCCTAAGCAGTGACATCATAGTCTCCTTGGCACACGATGGTCCCCAATGCCGAGTTTCCAAGCACCTGGCACACACTTCGGATCAAGTTTATCGAACAGGATGCGATTTGTCCCAAATACCCATCGCGTCTCCCACTTTTCCGCCATTGACGTGTTGATCGATCCCCGTCACCACCCGAACTCTCTGCAGATCGATCTCAGGGTCAGTCAGGGTCCGAAAAAGCACGCAGAATTATCGCAAGCATACCTCACCGATCTCTTCAAATTACGCCACACACACCCTTTTTCCCCCATCGCGGCAGTTCCCAAAAGTTATCGATATCCCAGTGCAATTGCGCATATTGTCGCAGTGTCGCATCCACAGAAACCATTTCCCCATCCTCCAGAAAGTCTCACACCAATGGAACGAGGAGGTGAAACCCTCTAGAATGCCGTCGTGCTCCTCATGGGTGTGCTCTGCTCGGAGTAATATCGACTTTGTCCTCGCACAATTATCCTCCTGACCGTCACCACCAGTTTGTTCACTGTGGTTGTCGTGGCCCCGTCTGAACGACACTGGCTGTTCGAAACTGCGATTATGGTCGGCTGGATGCACCAGCGCCTCCTCCCATGACTTCAAGACACGTCCCCCTGCTCCCTACCGGACCGCCGTCGACCACCGCCGGCACCGACCATGGCTCCGTCTCTTCTTCAACGAGGAGCTACATGAGGCGGCAGATGACGATGAATGCCTGCGTTGGCTGTCGGAAGAAAAGAACAAAGGCATGTCAACACAGTCTTTCCTACAATCCTTTTCCATGCCATGGTGTGTCATAAGTGAGACGACGGGAAATGTGGTTGCGTAAAGCTGTGACGATGGCTCGATACTGTGACTGAAAGTCATTCACCGTTTTCCCGATGTATGTATCTAACATCCTCCGGTGCACACAGTGCGATGGCAAAAATCCCTGCTCAAGATGCGTGGCCCGCGGCGAAAAATGCGACTACAAGGCCAAAGCAACCATAACAAAGGACGACCTTCGCGCCGAAGTCGAAACACTCAGACGTGAAAGACTCAACAATAGGGCCGTCCTGAATGCCCTCCTCCTCGACAAACACGAGGCCATCGTACAGCGACTCCGTGCTGGCGTACCCGTACATGCCATAGCTCAAAGCCTCAGCGCCCAAGACGGCGGAGACATCCAACACGACGAGGATGAAGAAGACAGTAAGGAGGGCATTCTCCAAAATGAATTTACCACGTCGACAACCCTTCCCTCTGCCGACGACGCACCCATGGCCGAAACGCCGGGGCTCACTGACAAAAGCCGCAAAATCGATGGCATCAGCAAGCAAGTTGCGACGGGCCATTTCGACTTCAACTCTAGTACTGGCGGCGACATTGAATTGCCAGTCTGGCTGTTGGACCCCAAAGAGACTTCCGGCGCAGCGAGTCTCCCGTCATCGACGCGGCGCGCCCCAGCGACTCGCCGGCACAGCTTCTCCGCCGGTCTCACCGAACGTCTGCCCATAGGCGGAAGTACCATATGGACGAAAGTCACGCCAAACAGGACTCTCCTTGACAGCCTAATCGAGCTCTTCTTCTGCTGGGAATTCCCGCCATTTACCATGGTATCCCAGGAGTTCTTCTTGCGCGACTATTTCGACGGTGGGCGTCAGTTCTGCTCTCCGGCGCTTGTCAACGCCATCGCGTCCGTAGCGACACGCTACATGGAACCCGACAAGACCACCTCTTCGGGCGACGCATATCTCCTCGGAGAACAGTTCTTCAGTGAATCGAAGGGCCTTCTCATACTCGAGTCTCAAGTACCGAATCTTCCCAGCATCCAGACATTCGCCCTGCTCGCTATGCGGGAGATGTCCTTTGGCCGGGAATTGGAGGCGCAGGAGCTGTGTCTCCAAGCCGTGCGACTTCTGAGTGCTCTCGATGTGGAAGACTTGGAACGACATGGCCGGCTCACCGACCATCTCACCGTTAGATGCACGACCTTTTTGGGCGTGTTGTCGCTCGCTCGGTATGTTGTGCCCTTCACCATGGTGATTCTTGAAAGCTTGCAGCCAACCTCCTGCTAATGCGTGTACATGTTAACAGGGCTATACGACTTATCACCGACCAACTATCACCCGCCTCCAACTACTATTACAAAACGATGCCGCTTGTTTCAAACTTCTCCGACCGTGACGGCGAAAATCTGGCGGCGCAGCTACAGGAGCGAAGTGAGTCTCTTACTGCGGACAAGCTCTGCACAATGCAATTGGGCCAAACTAACAGTAAAGAATTAGTGACTCGGCTGTGGAGTAAACTCGACACAGATGCAAAGCCGAAGGCCGCAGACATGCTCAGCAACTTCATCTTCGACCAGACAGAATATGTCTACACCTTCTTATCTCGAGTTGGCGAGTCCGGGAACCCGACGACGATCGACCAGCTCCCGGCCGTGTATCAGACATGTCTCGAGTCGTATGAGACCATCACGATTTTCCTCACAGAGCAGGGAGATTCCTTCCCTTGCACACTGTTTGCGCAGTAGGTGTTTGCCCGAGCATCTCGTGTTTTCTTGACCGGTGATCTGACTGGACTGGTTCGTTTTCTAGCATCTACTTCCATTTTTGTCTACTCGCTCTGTTTCGTCCCTTTATCAATTGTTCGATGGAGGTGGCGGGGACATCGCCGCGAGCCGTTTGTGCGGAAGCCGTTCAGGCTATTCTCGATGTCACGCAGAGCTACGCGAGTCTATTTACGCTGCGGCGGACTCCTTGCTTCGTTCCGTATTTCGTCTTTGCCGCCGGACTAACGCGCCTCGTGTTGGAGAGCGATGCGATGACGGGGAGTTCTCCCTCTGCGTCCCCCACCCTCGGCCTCAGCCCTGCTACTATCAGCACGGAGGCCAGATCGCCATCTCAGCCGGTCGTTGCCGACAATGGCGGAGATACATACATGGTAGGATCGGACAGCGGGCGTACATCGCTATCGCCTACTTCCACAACACTGAGCGCGATCGGGGCTGGAACAGGAAGTAGGAGCAACTCGGCGACAACGTGGAGCACAAACAACACAACGCCGAGCGCGACGTCAGAAAACGATCGCGGCATGACGCAGGCCGTGCAGCAACTGGAGGCAATGAGCGTTGGTCATCCTGCCGCTGCTCAGGCTGGATGGGTTCTGCGAGACTTCAACCCGAACCAGGACCAGCAGCAGGACTATCGTTGAAGGGATGGTGCTCAAGTGCTGATCATCAGACGTACACAATTTTTCCATGATAGCAAGCGACTGATGAGTGTGTTGAGGCGTTGCGGGGGCGACGGCTTATAGGTATACTGGCGATCAATGATAATACCACATGTTGATTGTATGACAAGCCAAGACTAGCGTCTCCTGTCCCGAAATATCTCTGGACCTGTGCTTCCCAACTCAGACAACAACAACCGAAATGCAGGGAAATGGAAGGCTAAGCCAAGTGGTGGAGGTCTTGCAACATCCCAATGCACTTGCGCCTCAACTTGCTGTTCCTGGAGATGAGGATGAGGATGACGCTGCTTGCATTTGAACCTCTCCATGGTCACACCTCCACTCCTTCCATACCGTCATATATCTGACTGACTGCCATGTCGGTCGGGAGTCGTTGCTTACTCGAGATTGGACAGCCAACGCCTGCCTAGCTGCGGTGCATACCACAGCCATACAAAGTCGATGCACTTTACCACCGCCCCCTAAGCGACACAATCGAAGGAAACACCGACCAGACCAATGCGAATTCCCTCTCTCTTCAATCTACGTTGGTCATCATGACGTCACCGGTACAAGGGGACCTTCTGTGTACTTGCCGAGTTGTATCCTGTCAACCTCCTGTCACAAGCCTGTCACATGTTCACCTTGGAAATATATTGTGAACATCACATTCACCAGCCCTTGTCCCGTCCCAGAGCTGGCTTGGTTTCCACCACTATCGGCATCTGACTTTCGGAGCGCTCTGGAATCCAATTCTTGTCTATGGTTTAAGTACTATTCGTGTTTCCCGTCGCTGAACCCTCGTGTCGTATTCTTATGCCCTTCAAACACCATCTCTTCGCTTTGTTGTCAAGGGCGCCCAAAAGCCTAGCGTGATGCCGGTCACCCTTGCCAATGGCGCGGTAACACTTACAGACGGCATCCTCATGGCCAACGACGACTCCATCACCACGGGCGTGTCCATGGCCCCGGTAACTGCCACGAACAAACCAATCATTCAACCCGAGGGTGATGAGCGGGTGCCTCAGGCCGGTAGGGAAATGCACCCACGATCTTCTGTTGACCGCAGCTAACCTCTTCTCCAGGGGTTGCGCGCGCCAACCTTGCCCCATCATTCGACAAGCCCGAGGGAACAACAGAGGATGGCTGGGCCGAACGTCACAAGAACCAGAGTGTTCTGCAGCAGCATCTCGACTTCTTCGACCAGTTGCTTTTCAACCCCCTCCTTGGTAAGCCCAGCAGCGAGCTTACCAGTCCCAGGACCACGACGGCATTATCTACCCCTGGGACACCTTCGTCGGCTTCCGCCGGCTGGGCTTCGGCTACTTCCTCTCCCTGTTCTCGGTCTTGATCATCCACGCCAACTTTTCCTACCCGACTCTGCCCTCCGTCTTCCCCGACCCGCTCTTCCGCATCTACATCGCCGCCATCCACAAGTGCAAGCAC